TCTGCTTCTCCCTCTGACCCTCCTCCCTCTCACGCTCTCTGTCTCTCATTGTCTCTCTCTCAAATAAATAAATAAAATCTTTAAAAAAAAAAAGATGAAAAGGGATGTGGCGATCTAGCAGAACATTTTTCTTATAAATTTGCAAATTATAATGTAGGAAACCATATACTGTATTTCCTAGGGTTATGAAAATATGCAATAATGAAACTGAATGAAAAACTCTATTCACTAATTTCATTACACAGAAGCCAATAAGTTAGAACTATTTAAAAGGAAGCATGGATTAACATTTATATAAAAATATCAACAATTCATCTGAGCAATCAGCTTGAGAAGTAGATGTATTATAGTGCTCAGTAAGGCAAGAACAATATGAGGAGGCAATAGCTTACCTTTTGGTAAGCACAAAAGGACCATCATTTACCTGAGCTCATGTCTGCTCTCTGACTTGTACTTAACATTACTGATTTTCTTTCTTTCTTTCTTTTAAAAAAACATTTTTTAAAGTAATTTCTACATCTAATGTGAGGCTTGAACCTACAACCCTGAGATCAAGAGTGCTCTAACAACTGAGGTGCTCCCTGATTTTCTTTTCAAATGAGATTTATAAAGATATGTCTAGTGCCTTGGTCATATATTCCAAATTTGCACATTGGGATTATTGCTATAGCTTACGTAAAAAAAAGATCACTGTAAATTAATATCCTCCTTTCTGTCTTCATTTACTTATCTGAAGTTACCCTACATATCATTCTTTGTATCCACTCTCCTACCATCTATCTTTAGTGCTCACACTTTAATAAAACAGCTTTCCCTATTCACCAACTGAATATTACATATTCACACACTTTTCAAAGTTCAGTTTTGAGGTACTGGTGACATTCTGACATAGTACGAAGTATGAGTGACCCAATCTGTATACATCCTTCCTCATCACAGAACGTTAGAACTGGGAAAGGATCAAGAGATAATCTAGTAGAAGAGAATATACTATAGTACAGTTGCTTAAAGTTATGTAGCTAGTTAGTGAGACACCAGAGATCAGAATTCACTTACTAGGATTCCTAGTTCATTGTTTAATTTCATTATCTGAGTAATGATACTCTTGGTCTTTTTTTTAGGCTCTCTTATCCTTTTATTCATATATAAATAATTCCTAAGGAAATATCCATGTGTTTTCAGACTAAATTGGTACTTTACTTTAACAAATATTGGTTGAAATAAATGAAAAGAGAAGCCTTCTTGATGCACCAAAGGAGAGTCAGGCACTTCCTTTCCTTTGTGCTTTCACAGCACTACTTACTCAGCCAAGTATTTATTGAGGCATTCCACAAATATTAAGTCTACTATATGCTAGGAACTATGCTGGGCAGTGAGGGATATGGATACCTAAGCAGATAATTATAATACAATGTGATAACTGCTTTAAGAGAAGTTTGTAGAAGGTAAAATGGGATTAGGACAAATGGTTAAATATGCTTAGAAAAATAAAGGCTTTTTAGAGAAAGTGACCCTTGAACTGACTTTTTAAAAGGAGGAACCGGAGATGATGTGGAGAAAAAGGAACCCTCATGCACTGTTGTTGGGAATGTAGCTGGTATAGTCAACTGTGGAAAACAGTATGAAGAAAAAGAAATAGAACAACATATGATCCAGTAATTCCACCTGGGTATTTACCCAAAGAAAACAAAAACAGTAATTTGAAAATATATCTGCCCTCCTTTGTTTTACTGTAGAATTATTTACAACAGCCAAGATATGGAAGCCATCCAAGCGTCCACTGATAGATGAATGGATAAAGAAGATGCATGTATATACATATACACACACACACACACACACACACACATACATACAATGGACTATAACTCAGCTATAAAAAAGGATGAGATGTTGTCATGTGCAACAGCATGGATGGACCTACAAGGCACAATGCTAAGTGAAATAAGTCAGAAGAGAAAGATAAATACCATATGATTTCACTTATATGTGGAATCTAAAAAACAAATTAATAAACAAAAAGTAGAAAGAGACCCATAAATACACAGAATAAACTGATGGTTGCCAGAGGGGTGGGGGGTAAAGGAATGGGCAAAATGGGTGAAGGGGAGTGGAAGGATATAGGCTTCCAGTTATGAAATAAGTGACTAGGATGAAAAGTACAGCACATGGAATATATAGTCAATGGTATTGAAACAGTGCTGTATGGTGACAGATGGTAGCTACACTTGTGAGCGTAGCCTAACATAGAGTGTTGAATCACTACCTTGTACACCTGAAACTGATGTAACATTTGTGTGTCAACTATACTTCAATTGAAAATAAATAAAAAATTAAAATAAGAAAAGGAGAAACAGGAATTTGCAAGGCAGACAAAGGGGGGAGAAGAGGGCATGTGAGACAGTAAACTGCATGTTCAAAATTAAGTCATAAATTATAGTAAGTGATTTATTCCTCTATTCTAGACTTTATCACATTGTATTGCAATTTGTTTACTTACCTGTTAAATATAGTTTATGGCCTCTTTGAGAACGAGAACTTTTTTATTTTCTACAGTGCCCAGCAGATAGTAAAAAACTGACATTTTTGCTGACAGAATGAATTACTATTTTTTGGTAATTAGTTGTTTTTTCTCAATATATTAGGTTGGGATTAGGTATGCATCATAATAGGATTTAGCTGATGATACACCAGAGCTCTTGTTGTTGTTTTTAAAACAAATACAAGCATTCTTTGTACATACTTTTTGGGGGTATACAATCTCTTCCCGGAGAAAGGTGTTTTCTCCAGCATTCTTATCAAAGAGACCCCAGTCCATCTTCAGATCCCAGATGAGGGTATAACAGGAACTGATGATACAAAACACGATCCAAAGATAAAAGAATACCATGGTGTCTGAGTGACCTCGTTCTGAAGAAAGAAAAGGGAAAGGTAAAAGAGACAATTGGAGATTTAAGTAAAATTCCTCATTAAATAAAACTAATTTTAAAAAGATTCTTTATACAGCACCATAAAGGAAGTAAGATTTTAAACAAATCTCCCTAGTATGAACGCTGTCTAACAGAAGTTAAATAGTAACTCTGATTCTCCTGAAGCACAAAGTAATCATCAAACATTTACCAAATACATAAAATTTGTACAAATGTGCATTTGAGTTTTGGAGGCTCTATGCTGAATACATAAAAATCCAAATAATTGCAATGGAGGTTTTGAATAGTACAAAAGATGTCATTTTAGTTTTTACCATCAGGTGGCAGATTAGGGTCAAAGATGAAAAAAAAAATTGAGAAACACCACTAATAAGAAATGTGCTACATTTGCTTCAAGAAATTCTTGGATTGTTTTAACCTTAGAACATTTCCTTCATATACTTAGATTTTGTCTATACTTATTGTGAATACAATCAGATACTTTTAATTCCAGATAAAAAGCCAGAAAGCAACAGATTGATTATCCTTAAGGACATATACGAAAGCAAGTTTCTCTCAAATCACAAAGCAAAGCATGATATTTTTGCCTTTTTTAGACGTTGTTTATAGATACAAATGCTGGGAACACTACAAAGTACACTCAAGCAGAATAATAAAAATAATTTGCATATGTTGTTATATAATTTAGTATTTTTCACTCTTAAGTGCTTCATATATTCTCTAATGAAATTCTTCTTTGGTAAGTTTCAGTCATCATGATATTATTTGTGTTCCCAGGATATAGGTATTAATATGGTCCTGAATTATCAGGAAAAAACAGGAATCAGGAATTATCAGGAAATCAGGAATTATCAGGGAAAAAGTTATGAAACATCTAATTCAAAAAAGTTTAAATTTTGGTTAGTTTCCCAAAGGCACAGAAAATAAAGGATGTATCATGCCTTATCCACAATCCTTCCTATTAAAATAAAGTCCTTCCTATTAAAACAAGTGTTCATTAATCATTTTTAGGCATTGAAAGTATTAAGTACAGTATAATTCAAAGGCACCCTTTAGAAATTTATAATATAGTAAGTGGAAATAGTCATTTGTTATTAATGATAAATCTGAGTTCAAAATGAAGTATAAACAAAGCACTATGAGAACATCAAGGGGAATGGGAATGTTTCCAACAGTAGGAAATAAGAGGAAGTAGCATTTGAGTTATTTGTAGAAGGATAAATAAACAGTGTTGCAAAAGTCAGGCAAATGATGCAAGGATATTCAAAGCTGAAGGAAGATAATGAAAAGCCAGGAGGGTGGGAAAGTACAAGGTGTGTTTGAGGAGCTGCAAATAATCTAAATCTAGTGTGGGTGAAATATGGAGGATGTAAGAGAATGAGTATGATTTAAAATGAGCCTGGAGAAGGCATTTTGGGTCTGACTATGGAATGACCTCTTGGTACTTAGGATCTTATCTATTTTAGAAAAATAATTAAGCTGGCAGGCTGCTTGCATCAGAATTACTTAGCCAATTTAAAAAATATGGGTATGTTATAGTTCCAGTATTAATCAGTTCGTACCAGCTCAAAAGAACTGTTACATTTTCAAAACTAAACTGTTAAACACAATTATTAAAAATTGAATTATATAAACTTACAATTAGTTATATTAAAAACAAAGGTAATAAAAAAGCAGAATTCATTATTTCCTAATTATTTTACTACATTTTGCTATTAACCTTTTTTTTTAGGTTATATATGTTTATTGTATCTGTATGATGGAAACATTATATAATGCTGTGCTACTATACATCTTTTCCCAACATGCAATATTATCTTAGTAGCTTAAACTGGCTATGGTGGAAGTATTTATACCACAGAAATCAACAAACACTGCAAATCAGTACCTCCTGTCCCTACTCCTACCTAAGAGCTGGTTTGTTAAACATATAACAGCACATCACTGTTCAGCTTCTTCTGGAAAGTCAGCAGTTGGAAATAAAAACCAGTATTTTTTCAATGGTCCACAAGTGATACTAGTGAACAGTCAAGCTTAGATATAAACACATTTTCAGGGATGCCTGGGTGGCTCAGTCGGGTAAGCGTCTGCCTTCGGCTCAGGTCATGATCCCAGGGTCCTGGGGTAGAGTCCCATATTGGGCTCCTTGCTCAACAGGGAGCCTGCTTCTCCCTCTGCCCCTCCCCCTGCTCGTGGTCTCTCTCTCTCGCTCTCTCCCAAATAAATAAATAAAATCTTTTTTTTTAAAGATTTTATTTATTTATTTATTAGAGAGCGAGAGAGAGAGAAACAGCATGAGATGGGAGAAGGTCAGAGGGAGAAGCAGACTCCCCGCTGAGCTGGGAGCCCGATGTGGGACTCAATCCCAGGACTCCGGGATCATGACCTGAGCCGAAGGCAGTCGCTTAACCAACTGAGCCACCCAGGCGCCCAATAAATAAAATCTTTAAAAAAAAAAAAAATAAACACATTTTCAGGTTTAAACTATTTTCATAAAAACTCTTCTTCACCAAAAGTAAATTGGGTTGACTATTTATACTATAACACTGTAGACATAAATTATCAGTTTAAAAGTCCTAAAAAAATACTTATTATCTAGTTTAGTTGTGTTCCGTTTACTTCATTCTATAGATAGACACAGTCTGAGAAGTATTATTCAATAATTAGCATCATGATTGCATTTAAAAATCTTGTAACTTACCTACTAAGGTTTGCAAAGAAAATTGCAAAGCAAATATAGCACCTTAATAAAATTCACACTGTTCTCATATTTTCAAAACAAGATCAACACAAAGAGACAAAGACAGCAACTTAATTGTAAATTATATTTGCAACGCTTTTTTAAAAAATTGAATGCTTACTATGAGCCAGGCCCTTCATATATATTATCTCATTTAGTTTTTACAACAACAAACCATCATTTTGTTTGCTAAGTAAAAGTAATGAAATGAGAAGAAAGTAATAGATACATTGAGCAAGAAGTTAAAAAAATGAGTATTTCTCAAGTAGGTACAAGTAACATCAAGTGTTATTACTGAAAGCCGAATTTCTTTTCTAATTACTAAAGAAATCATCAAGTTCAAATTATTATATAAAAGGAGATTGTGGGGGGAAAGTTCAAAAGAAAGGAATTAATAAGGAAACAAAAACCAATATGCTACTTTTCTTTAATGTGTTCTAGATTTTAATACAAGTCCTATTCTTAGACGATAATTCTTAAAATGGTACAGTGGGTCAAGTACCTCCCTCCTTTCTAAGCTCATATTATTTCCATAATATTTCTATGAAACACATACAAGCCCTTACTGACTTTTCAAAAAGCAAGTATTTCAACAGAATATTTTGGAATAAGTAATGCTTTATCTTACTTTTTCAAACAATAATTAGTGTGCACCTAGTATACATGTGTTACATTTTGGTCTCTTTTTAATTATTACCCTTATTTGATCTTTCCCATCTCCCAAATGTGGAGTGCTTCTCCCTGAAATCATCTGCCTTTATTGGTATTCAGGGGACGTACTGGAAAGATATTATCACTTTAGGCAAGCAATTACATCTAATTCTCTCTTGGCTACTTCTGGTAGCCCACTTTAGCGATGTTCAGAATCATAGAAAATCAAGTCATTGCTATTCTAACCTAAGCTTCTATTACACACCTGTCATATTAGATGCATAATTCATACTGGAAATATTTATGGTAATGTTATCTACTGAATGTAAAACAAATAAAAATAAGCTTCTTAGAGTTTTGTACCCATGGTTATCATAGGAGGGATAAAGCAAAATAATATATCAGGAAAAGTGCTAAGAGAGAAACCAGAAAAATTATATATGAAAATCATCCTTGAACCATGTTTCAGGAAGATATTTTAAAAATGAAAAGAGTGGCATTGTGTAAAGAGAAAGTGTATGGTTTTCTTTTCAACCAAAACCTTTCTATTCTGGTAACAGTTTACTAGTTTCTAATCTGAAATTAAAAAACAAATAGACTGCACACCGTTTTCAAAGCCCAAACCTATGCAGGTAATAAGCTAAGTTATGAATTAGTGTGGCATCTAGCAAATCTTAGTTCTATTCCCATAACCTAAAAAACATCAAAACACTGAATTACAAGATTAATATGGTTCTCTAAAAATGGATTAGATACTTCCCTGACCATTAGTGTGTTTTAGTTAAAATGTAAGGTCACATGTAGCCTCCTCAGGTGATTATCATATTTATCCTAAGAGCAGGCAAGAAAGACATTATTATTCCCATTTTATAGTTAAGAAAACTTAAGTTCAGAGAGACCGTCAATAAGTGGAAAGATAACTGGATTTGAAGTAAGAAGATCTGGGTCTGAATCCAGACTCTGCCTCTTTCCAACTTTGTGATTATAGAAAATTCATAATCTTAAAATGATTGAGACAAAAATGGAAATCATTAGGCCTAAGGATAAATGAAGAAACTAGAAATGGGAATCTTTATCCAAGGAACTTTTTTGTACTAGACAACTTTGTTGCTCTACATCCATCTCAATTCTAAAATGAAAAGACAGGGGCGCCTGGGTGGCTCAGTCGTTAAGTGTCTGCCTCCGGCTCAGGTCATAATCCCAGGGTCCTGGGATCGAGCCCTGCATCGGGCTCCCTGCTCTGTGGGGAGCCTGCTTCTCCCTCTCCCACTGCCCCCACTTTGTTCCCTCTCTCGCTGTCTCTCTCTCTGTCAAATAATAAAAAAAATCTTAAAAAAAAAAAATAAAAAAAATAAAATGAAATGAAAAGACAGTTCCATAAAACTATGAAGTAACATTAAAAACATTTCTAAGGTATGTGAAAAACAGAATTTAAATACTATACATATTACTTCATACTGTATATAAAATTTATGTTTATAGAAAAAGACAGAGGTATCTATTCCTATGAAGGAAGATTATTAAAGGAGCTCACTTTTAACTTTAGGTATTTCTGTATTATTTGAAATT